GGGCTATGGGGGAACCGTGTCAGAATTTAAGATGAAAGAAACGTGGGTGCTGAGGTCGAACCACAAATCAACAAGCTAAAATTTACCGTTGCAGACGAGACAAAAAAAAGTCATTCTCGCATCGCTCCATTTATTCCCACTCCATACACAAATACAAACAAAACAAAGAAGATGTACACAACAATCAACTGCAGCCCTTTACTCTCCTGCTCACTGGAACTTCACATGATTTAGGACCTTGTAGAGACAGGAAAAGGACAATAAAGCGTTGCCTTGGCACCGTTGCATACACTGACCTATTTCCTGGAGTTTCTCTTGTAGGAAATTTGATATCTTTTCAGTTCCTAATTGTATATCACAAAGGTGCTGCCTGCTCACAGTGAAGAACTGATAGAGGCAAAGAGGCCCCTGCAGTTCTGCATGATGCATGCTGTTGTATCAGCACAGATTGTAGTGTGTTCCTTAAGAAGTTACATGTTGTTTTGGGGGGTTGGTGGGGGTGAACACAGACGACGCAGTGAGGCCAGACAGTCTGTCAGCTGTTTAAAGATGTCTAAACTGTGGTGAAAACCATCCTCAGTTATCCGCCGCTCAAAGAATGCGCAAAGTGCTAACACATTTTCAGCGTTATTGCAAGGAACGTCAAGTAAAAGTGCATGCTGCTAGTGTTATTAGGATATAAAGAAAGAGAGAACATAGTGAGAAGATGTAGGAAGGCCATTTTTAAGGCCTATCATTATCGCCATCATCAACTTTCATGCTCTTTTATTGACTGAGACATCATCGCCTGGTTTTTAACAAAGAGCCTCCCTGTCCGACTGCTGTGGCCACAGCAGAAAGCCCAAGGGATCTGCTCTTCAAAGAGCCCTTTAGAACCCCGCTCCACTCCGACATGAAAGTTCGAGGATTTCAGCATGCATGGTTGCAATTTTAATAATCTTGTCCTGCTTTGGTCAAAATGAAGTCGACAGACATCAGGCAAAAAGAAAAACAGGCCGATATCAGATGTAAACTCACTACTTGGTCAGTGCAATAGTGAGGTCTCCCCCCCTCCAAAGCCTCCTCCACCCTGCCGAGTCTCCCTACTGTGGAGAAAACCTAAACACTCATCCGGCTGCTTAAACTGAAAATCTCAAAAGGTGCTTCGCAGAGGGGGAAACGGGGTTTACAGATGGTGCACATCACCTCACACTTTTCTGCAGACTGCAATCAGTCATGCCCAATTTCTTCTGGTTTGACAGTTATTTAGGGTTACTTAGTTTGAATTTGCTGTCCGTGTGATACCGCTGGAGAACAAAAGACCTTTGTTGCTTATGTGAAATCATGCAGATGCAATAAAGGTCTTGGGTCCCCAAGACACTCCACCAGAAGTTCTCAAAGTGGCGACCTGACATATTTCAGTGCCCGAAATTCACCACTCCTCCACCATAAATTTACTTAAGCAGAAGTATATCTTCAAAAGAAAATTCCCTCTTGCCAGCTTTAAACTCGGGTATAAAAGACTTCTTACATGTAACGAGTTAAAGTGCAGCTGAACACTCGTTTGTCATGAATTGCCATATTTATTTACATGGACTGACCGCAGCCCTGGTTTCGATCAGAGGATCAGGCAGCTGTTTCAGTCGGCTGCTTTATATCTCTCAACCATCGTAATCAATGTATTCCTAATTTCCTCAGCTACTCCAGTAGTTGCAGACCAAGGAGACTGCAAAAGTGTGCTGATATACAATCCACGGCATTAAAGAAATTTAACACAGAACAGTCTTGAGAGAGCTTGAAGTTTCTGGATTTGCTTGTTTGTGAGTATTTGATGGTTTTAACTGAAACTTCATTTAATCTGTCATTTCAAGAGAGACTTGAGAACAATAACAATTACAAGAATGCAGCTAGCAGATGGAAATAACATAAATAAACAATACAAGAAATGGATAAAAACAGTTGCAGGAATCATAAAGCGTGCAACAATGACGCTTTGAGAACACCAAGGGGTGTAATTCATTTTAGGACAGCTTACAATTCATCCCATTTCAAGTTTAAGGTAACTGAAAACAGTTTTTCCAATGTCAGGGGATATCTCAGGTTAAACAAGAAGACTGGTTTTGTAGTTGGAAAAAGACAGCAATCTTTCAATTCGAGACAAGAGTCTTGTTTATTTAAAGGTGTTCAGTATAAGTCAGTCAAATTAAATCCCCAGGGACTTGTAAGGATCAGCAATTAAAGTTTTGGCTACAGAATGAACAGAGTCACACAGTGGAGAACAATGTGTCTAAAGGGCACTTGTCATACTAACTGCCAGCTCCATGTTTTTAATTGTCAGGTTCTGCTGGAGTATCTTTGTGTGCTTAACAATTCCAAACAATCCTTATTTGTCACACTGGGCCTCTGTGCAGACACTCAGTTCGCCCACGGACTGAAACAGACCTTTTTAGCTCCATTTCACCTATCTTTAAATTTGACTGACTGCCTCTTGTAGACAGAAGGTTTGAAAAGCATGTGGGTGGGGCTTCTGTTCCCACAACCAGTGCTGTGAGCCTGAGATGGCCACATTAGGGATATCTACCTGAAGATGAGCATTTAGGCAAGTCTGAACCCCTGAGAGCTTTTGGCTCATTTGGGTTACTTTGCACATATGATGAGATTATTATTGAAACTTTGTTCATGTTTAATGTGATCCATCTATTACTATAACAGATTAAATAATAATAATAATAAACGCAGACCAAGTCAGCTTTAAGGACTTTAGTTAATTTTCTTGTGTCTGTTTCTGTTTATTTGTGTGTTTTCTATGTTGCAGTGCACTGACCTCTTAGG